ACATTGGCTCTCTGAAGCCTGCTCCTTTGATTGTGTGAAAATTCACCTTATCCGAGCACAAATGATTAAGCTCCTATTTAAGAATTTGTGATAGTCTCTAAGTCTGCTTGTACCGAAGATCGTGAGTTTCGTTCCTGAGGTTAGATCCGCGATCACGCAAGTCGGTCTTATATTCGTCAGGACAATTCACGTCTTCAAATTTAGGCAACCGCTAGTCATTGGTCTCGTATACGTGGCTTTCAGCCTCAGTTGCAAATGTCTGCCATTTGTCTCGGATGTGGGTGGTGGACACTTGCTTGGGCAGGCCAGTTACGGGCTGTTTCGCTGCTTCATCGTGCCTCATGCGTTGCCAACAGGGCAAGTCTTTGTTTTTGTTAACCAGACAACATGGTTGGATTGGCGAAACTTAAGAGGATTCGATCACCCCCCCCAATCTAGTGGCCAGTACTGCTCGCCCAACAACCGGTTGGGCTCATTAGCTCGCACTTCGAGTGCAGAAGGGTCGGGGCTGTCAGTTGCCGACGCAAGAAACCGATCTGTCCAGACGCCTCTTGAACTGCCGAAACTCGACCAACCTGACCGGCTTCGGAAGTGTGCGGTTCCAGATTTAGACCCTGCCTCGCGGAGAGGGCGAGGAGTGGGGCAGGAGGGCGAGGAAAGGGTGAAAATGCAGAAAAAACAGGCTCATTACGGGTCGGGGATAGGACCGACAGACAGGCGGTCACATGTAAATACATGTTGCCTCTCGCTGGATCACGGCAACCACGATTGCCTGTCGGCGGCCGGTACAGGCGGTTCGCACGCTCACTTGTCAGAATGTCAGCGTCTGGTGAAGCAGTGGCAGACTTGAGTGGGCGGGCGAAACTCGTCGCTCAACCGACGGGCGTCCCGGAAATAGAGGCACCGGTAACCGGGTCAACAGACAAACGGACAACATTGGGATGTCTGGAAGTTGGGCGGCCTGAAATCCAGCCATCAGGACGGCTCGAGAGTGTGGTCTAAAATGGAGGCTGGCGTCTTGTGTCTGAAAAAGAGGTGATGTCCGATGACGTATGAGAACTGTACATTTCGAGGCCAAACTCGTCTGGACGCATTTCAGGAATTCGGCCTATCGCAACATGAAAGTGGAGGATTGCCTTGCAGGACAGACGAATTCCCTTCTGCCAACGTCTCATTTTAAGAAAAAAATAGTCATGTCGAAATACATCAATCACGAAGGCAACCCGCGAAGGCCAGCTTTCTGCAAATATGATAAGATAAGGTTATTTGCTGATGGCTGGGCTCCCGCGAAGACGGCAGAGGCTTGGGCCGACAAAGTCTGGCAGCTACAAGTTGTAACATGACCTTGCATTTCGAAGGTAACATTTAATTGAAAGGAATTCCTGAAATGGTTTCACCTGCAACCGAAGAAGGATTGCCACAGAGTGAAGACAGATTGTGTGAAGGAGTCCTCCGCTCACCGTCCTGCGACTCCGGTGTGCATGTGCAAAGCTTTCGTCATCAGAGCAAGAATCTATACTTTACAATATAGATAAAAACATAATTATATATATATATATATATATATATACGGAGAGCCAGAGAGAGAAACATTGATATGACCAATTATCCTTATTATTAATAATATTATTGTCGATATTGTCGATTCAACTTAAAAGCTCGGTTGTGCGACGATTGGTAGATTTGCTATAATTATTTTTCGTATTTAAGTAAAGTTTCGAGACTACCATTAAATCAGTTATATGATGTGTATTCAGGGTAAGAACAACTTTTGGGAAAGCAAGGCTCTGTAAAATTCAATGGGAACCTCTGCTCAACTCATATTATTGTGGGAAAACTCTACTGCCAGTCCTTAATCACCTTAAACGGAATTGGGTGAATACATCTTATATTAGCTATAATTATCTCTGATAGAATAGTATGATTATTGAATTTACCAAATAAGCATTGTCACTGGTACGTTCTCTAGATTTTCTACCCGGATTAAGGGCCTCGGCCTAGCGACTGTTAATCCGAACTTAGAGGAGCGCACATAGCCCAGTGTCCATTATATGCATGACAATTTCCAGATTCGAACCGTGGAGGTTGTACATTCTTAGACATTTCGCCAGCATCGTAGTCAGCATCGTCAGTGAGTCTTGCCATTCTTAGCACCATACAACAACTTGTCAAAGAGACAAGTGAAACCGATTCTTTGACCAATTTTCTGATAAACAATCGTGGTATCTCTCCTTCCAACCTGGGTTAATCCCCCTTTGACTATCTCAATTTTTGACTTTTTTATTTAAATGTGGTATGGTGTGTCATTTTCAGCGGATTTCATGAGAACTCTCCCCACACCAGGCTGGCTTTCTCACCCCCTCACCCTCCTTCACCTTTCTGCTGGGAATACTGATCAGAGTCTACCCTATTGTTACGCAGTCCTCCTTCCATAGGTCGTATCAGAGTCTCCCTCTGGCTCAGTGGGATCCGCCTGCGAAAACAAGGTCAAACAACTTTTATACAACGAAATAAGACTGCGTTCGCACCATCTTGGTCCTCGTATCCATACCTAATATTGTTATCGTTAGTGTTTTCGTTTTTCGAAAAATCATTATTAGATATATTATTAGTACCGTGGGTACGTCTGCTTAAAGTCTGAGTCATGGAACGATAATAAAAGTATAATAATTTATTCCACAAGGTGGTCAATGGCACTTTCACTTGAAAATCTGGCCTTAGAATCGTGACCTTGGCTCAGCAGCCGTTCGCCGGACTATTGTATATAGATAAACATGTATAGCTATATAAATTAAATCGTTTGCTCATTTGATAGTTTGGTTGCCTATCCAGAGCCATTAATTTGTGGCCAGACATTTTAGAAAAAATGCCATTGGCTACACCTATTTTGGGCAACGTCACCAATGGAAGCAAACTTAAGTAACTTAAAGATGCCAGGCTGCCATTGTACCTTTCAATTTGTCTGAAAGGGCAGATGGTTTCAATGGGAACCGAGTGAGGATGAACGTGCAGCTGTATTGTGCACATGGTTCTCGATTTATTCTGGGGCGACTATGCCTAGACATATTTAGTGTTTAAGTTGCCATTTCCGTAAGAGTATGCTTTCGGGCTATGAAAATCTCTGTCACTGCAGCACATACAAAAACTCAATATCATTGGATCGCGCTGATGGACGGGGGGCTTAAAAGTTCTTAGTACAATTCACCAGTTACAATTACAAGCGATCCTTCCTCGATTAGCAAAGAGTCCAATATACGAATTACTTTCAATCACCTTTTTTAGTCAAAATGTAAGTTAAATCAACATTATTCGGATACCCGTTAAAGCAAATTTCATCACTATCACAAGATTTGGTTTTTCAGCGACAGTATCTATAATAATAATTTCGTATTGGAGTAGAGTTTCGAGAATACCAGTAAATAAGTAATATGAGATGTATTCATCCTATTTCGTCTAGTGATGAAGGACCTTAGACGAAATAGGGTGAATACATCTCATTATACTGATTTACTGGTAGTCTCGAAACTCTACTCCAATACGAGAATAAGTAACGTAGTCCATTGCTATAGAAAATATACGTTTGCTTCGTCGGCACTCCCACCAAAGAATATGATATAGCAAAGAGGCCTGACCTTCCTTGAAATTCACATCTGCCCTGTGACTCAAGGGTACTCGTGGCAGTGTAACAGAGGGGTTAGCGTGCCGAGCTTCCATCCTGTTCCAGCTGAGGGTGTTGATAAGACCGATGCGAGATCGAAACTGCAGTCCACCCAGGATAAGAAATACTTTTGGGAAATCAGGGCTATGTGAAATTGAATGTAAATGTCAGCTCAACTCATATCATTGTGGGAAAATTCTACTACCAGTCCTTCATCACCTTAGACAAAATATGGTGAATACATCTCATATAATAATAATAGAAATATAAAGTGCCTGAGGTTGTGTGAAGGAAGATCTGCTGGTATCGAGTGGCGTCTTAGGGACAGAGCGCTAACCCGGCATGACGATGATGTGGTCGAATATACCCAGAAGGGAGCGGGATCTTGGTACAATCGTCATATTGGAGTGGGGCATTTAGACTTAGCCTGATCCGTACGGGATTGGTGCATGAACTGACTTTTTGGTAGAGCGTAATTCATCCATGCTGGGCTAACGAAAGGGTAGCCTATACACACGAAAGGGTTTTCGAGAATGATGGCTAAGTGTGAATATGTGGGGCAGAACTGGGCTGCGAAGCAACCCTCCATGGTTGAGCGTGACACTACTTTTCATGACAAACTAAAAGTTGGTTGGAATGGAGAAGGTCGGATTGTGCAAGCAAGTCCTCAATTCATTCTCCTGCCTCTCGGAAGGATACGAGTTGAGCTTTCGTTTGTCATGCTGAGACAGAACAAGAAGGCCTACTTTACGAAAAGGGTATAAACAGAAAAACTACAAGAAGGGTTGGCCGACTGTAAACCTACCTTACTTATCAAACTACATGCCTAGAGACGGATGCAGTTGCTGTATGTAAAAGAAATGGATGTTTTTATTTAGAAGAGGATTTGTGAGACAACCATTGTATATGAGATTTATTCGTCCTATTTCGTTCGGACCTCAATTTCCCCAAAAGAAATGAGATATGAATTTCACATAAACTTAGTTTCTCAAAAGTTATTTTCCTACAAGTTTTACTGCCGTTTCGATTGCGCCCAGATCTCATCAGCCCGATTAGCAGGAGTTGAAAAAGGAAAATGCACCATATAATCTCGACACATTAATCACTACGCCAGAATGGCACAAGTGTCATGGGAACGGAGGGCAGATGTGAAATTGAAGAAGAGCAAGGCAGACTCCGTATAACATTAAGAGGTGGGATTGTCGATAAAGGAAAGATATATATGGTACAGCGACCGATAAAGATGTTAATTATTCATTTATAATTAGGCTCTCGAAATCTAAAACGAAAAAGAATGAATAAATAACAGATAAATAATTTACGGGTAATCTCGAAATCCTAATT